AGAGAGAGGCTACTTCGATCGATAGGATGAGCAAAATCCGAATGAATCTTCCGCTAGAACATGGAAATATACACTGCAACCTTTTTTTTTTTTTTTTATGTGTGTGTGTGTGTGCATGTGTGCGTGTGTGCGTGTGCACGTGTGTGTGTGTGTGTGTGTGTGTGTGTGTGTGTGTGAGAGAGAGAGAGAGAGAGAGAGAGAGAGAGAACACGTAAGTCTTCAAACTCGCAGCTGCCTCACGCGACTTCCATCGATAGGATGAGCAAAATGAATGGATCTTCCGCTCGAACATGAAAATATACACTACTACACTTTTTTTCTTTTTTGTTTCACGCGCGCGCGCGCGCGTGTGTGTGTGTGTGTGTGTGAGAGAGAGAGAGAGAGAGAGAGAACAGGTAAGTCTTCAAACTCATGGCTGGAAAAACCGCCCGCCAAACAAAGTACCATAAAAGCGGCCTGGCCCCTCCCCAACCCGAACCCGCGCCTGTCGTTACATTTTTTGGCAGCATTTCCCCAGAAAACACAACGGGAGACAGCCTCGACCCCGCAGCCGCCAGGCAAAAAACTTCCTGCGGCCAATGAATTTCCCGGGACACCTCGTGTACCGTCCAAACGACGTGCGGGCCTCATTTTTGCTGGGCCCGTAGGGAGCGTCTTACGAGGACCGCTTTTTTCTTTTAGTAGATAGATAGATAGATAGATAATGAGAAGTAAAGGGTGGGAGGGAGTCTCATAGGGGACCAACGTAGATCACCTGGATAATCAAATGGCCAACTACTGAAGGAACTGTGAGGATTGAGCCCCTCGCAGGGCCTTTCGGGCCTCCTCACCCAACAGCAAACGGGCCCCCAGCAAGCCTCGTGACCGCCCTAAGTGAAGGTGAGGCTGCATTTCAACATGAGGCCTTACTTTCGTCATTTCTGCATGTGGGGGCACCAAACAGTTGGGACGCTCCAGTTGGTTACAAGGCCCATGCCTAGCATGAGCGCGACATGTTGAGCCTCTGGGCTCTTTAAAGCAGCGACGTGGACAAGGGCCTCTCTTCCAATAGGATTGCAGCGTACCACGCTGGCCAAGTCACACAGTTAGGCTGCTTAACTGTCGCGGGCCCAGGCCACTGTCTGCATTGAGCCTGGGTGCAGATACTGGGGGCCGACCAAAAGCTACTGGAAACACGGTCGCCAGGCCCCAGGCACGCGAAGGAAGGGTGCACTCTCCATATAGGAAAGTGCTTGCCTCCTAGCAGCACATTCTGGCCCTGGGCGCTTGTGCGACAGCGCTGCGGAATTGAGTGCACGGCGTTGCCAGGGCGCAGAGGCAGGAGGCGCAGAGAGGTGAGGGCGCTGCAAGGGCAGTGGGCACACGGCAGGCATAGCCAGGCTGGCCGCAAGCATGCTAGTGTGGGCAATGGTGGTCTTCGGACAGGGGATGCACATAAGGTCGGAGAGAAGGCGTGAGGTCAGGGAGAGAAGAGAGGCATGTGCCTGTGTATGCGGCAGTCTGCATGGGCGACTTCGTCTGATACATTGGACTTCAGCTTGAAGTCAGGGGCGAAAAGAGGCCAGCATTGACATTGAGTTCATTGTATTGCTCTTATTTGGCTCGAATCTCAGTGGATTGTGCTTTCTGCTTGGGACACGACCAACGTGATATTGCAATTTGGTTTTCTGTCTATTGCTCTAGCTCATTTTCCTTGCAATTTGGTATCAGAGCTGGTTCAGATATCGCCATGCTGGGGCCAGGGTCTTTCTTACTTGGTGCACTGATGAAGCTTCTCCGCAATAAGGATACTCCTGTGCTGGCTGATTGGATTCCCTCCCGGGTAGAGGGGAGTGGGCTGGAAGGCTGTGGTGACAGCAGGTTGTGGGCCCAGGCCACTGTTTGCATTGGGCCTGGGCGCAGATACTGGGGCCCGTCCAGAAGCTAGTGGAAACACGGTAGCCAGGCCCCAGACACGCAAAGGCAGGGCCCAATTTCCATATAGGAAAGTGCTTGCCTCCCAGCAGCACATTCTGGCCCTGGGTGCTTGTGCTACAGCACTGCTGCATTGAGCGCCAGGGCGCTGAGGCAGGAGGTGCACACGGTTGCCACATAGAGGTGAGGGTTCTGCAAAGGCAGCGGGCATACGGCAGCCACAGTCAGACTGGCCACAAGCATGCTAGTGTGGGCCATGGTGATCTTTGGACAGAGGACGCACATGAGGAGGGAGAGAAGGGCGTAAGGTCAGGGAGAGAAGAGAGGCACGTACCTGCTGTATGCGGCAGTCTGCATGGGCGACTTTGTCACGTACATTGGTCGTCGGCTTGAAGTGATTCCTGTTGCTTGTTGTAGTGTAGGCTAGATAGATACTGAGTAGAGATAGGCTGGGCGATGGGCGCCAATCGAGAAGGGCGACATTGGATACTTTGTTGGTGGGGGCAAAAAGAGGCCGGCATTGACATTTGACTCATGATTTGAGTTCATTCTATTGCTCTTATTTGGCTTGTTTCTCAGTGGATTGTGCTTTCTGCTTGGGACACAACTATCTGCTCTTCGATGTGGTATTGCAATTCGGTTTTCTGTCCATTGCTCTCGCTCATTCTCCTTGCAGAACCGTCATGTGCCTAGCATCCAACCTCTATAACAACCTGGACTTTTTATATATACAAGGGTGCCTGTTGCGGCTTCGCTTGCAAGAAAAGAAGAAGAAAAAAACAAGATGAGAAGGGGGTGGTGGGAGGCTTGTTTTGTTTTGGGGCTCACCTGTGTACGGTTGTCAACGTACAGGTGAAGGGTATTTTGTTTGGGAACCCGTTACCTTCTCAGCATCGTCCTTTGTTTTCTGCTGTGTAAAATAACCCACGCAGTTTCAGTCTGACATATCTGCGAGGATCTGGGTTCTCCACAGGCCTAAGGGGCCCCGGTTGCAGTGGTGCCCGCCCTAAGTGAAGGCGGGCCTGACTGTCAATTTCATATTTGGGGTAGAGGCAGTTGTGACGCGCCAGTTGGTTGAGAGAAACACAGGCCGAGCAACCAAGACATTTCCACGGCCTTCTGGGCCTTTCCGAAGAATGCAGGCCCTGGGCGAGAAACGCAGCCTCATACACTGAGTTGGGATGC